TTCGCTACTCGAGGACTATTGCTAATAGTCCTCTAGTAGCGTAGCCAATTAAAATGCAGGATTTGCATTAGTCCACTAGTTGGGTGATACTAATTAAGATGATTCCGTAGTATTGCATTGCGCATTCCTACTGCGCACGATTTTCGCGTCATTAGCGCGCGCACATGAGCGCGTGCGCGTACAAAACGTAAGAGATTTCCCTCGAACTAAGCTCGATAGCGAAATAAATGCTCCTTTTCTCACGAGCACGGTGACCCCCTCTTTTTATTACGTTTTTAATATCTCCTTATCCTCAAACAACAGCATACCAAGTTTCATCGGAAATCTATGGCGGGTTCTCTACTAGAGAATCACCTTAACTAAAGCGAATACAAATACAATTACTAATCAATAAATCACTAGTTTTTTTTTTTTTTTTTATCGAAACAACCTTGCGTGATCCTCCCTTATCACTTTTTCGGGGTAATAATAATTGTCTCTCGTATACGCGTAACATTGCGGTGCCCCGTCAATAATGATACATTGTACAATTGATTGATTTCCACAGAGGCGGACCTAAACTCCCTGATGAAGATGGCGCTAGAAAAGGTTGCTTTTCTTCCGTTTGGGTACTTGATTGACCAATGGCGGTGGAACGTGTTTGACGGAAAAATCAAACCGAGCGAGTATAACACTGAATGGTGGAGACTGAGAACTAGATACCAGGGAATCAAACCGCCTGTCGTGAGGTCCGAGAACGATTTTGATCCTGGGGCCAAGTTTCATATACCAAACGATGTGCCGTACATAAGGTATGTAGTTGTTTCTTACTCTACCGCTGATGATAATAGGCAAGATACGCTAGTCCTTCCGAGTGTAAACGACATCAATCAGGAGATATAATCAGGGACCCGATCATGGCTCCTGCATCAATCTGTTTTCAAGGATATCCTCCATGCCATTGCAAGCTAGTCCCAGTCCCGTACCGAGAATACGAATACATGGTCCATTGAAATCTTTCTTTTATACATGTTATATCATCCCCTATAAAGTGGCTCACCCTTTCTCGCCCAAGAATACAACTCAGTGACGAGCCCCAGCCAGGGCTCAAACCCAGACCGTTCGATCCGGACCCTAGCCTACTGAAAGGTTCCCTCACCTCCCTAAATCCTCTGGCATCGTCCAGGATCAGGAGTGGTTCCTGCCAGGATTGAATACCGGTATTCAAACATCAGCACATGTTACGAACCTCTAATGTTTATGAGTTTCGCAGCTTGACATTTTAGGCGTGCGGAAAATTTGACGATTAAAACCAACAGTTTCCCTGTTAATGACAGAAAACAAGCCTCTATGCCAAACCAAATCAACAACACGTAATTATTCTCGGTCACTGGACAAACTGTGTTTACTAAGAAATATTTGTCGCATTTTTTTCCCAGGTACTTTGTCAGTCACGTGCTACAGTTTCAGTTCCACAAGGCTGCCTGTAAGTTAGCGGGCTTTGAGGGCCCTCTTCACCAGTGCTCTATCTACAAGTCGACCGAAGCGGGCAGAAAAATCAGGTATGGACTGGGGTTGAGTCGAACAATGGCGAAGACATTCTCGTTTCCAGAGCCCTCGTTGGTTTTAGTCAAGACGAGTAGGTCTGGGAACAAAAATGAAATCAAAGCAGTTTTTATTATCATTATTCTTATTGCATGTATTTCATTCAGTTTCATTTTCTTCGTATTTTTATTCATCTAGCGAGATGCTCGAGCTAGGCAAGAGCAAGCCGTGGCCCGACGCCCTAGAAAAGCTCACCAACCGGAGGACCATGGATGTTGGTCCCATGAAAGAGTACTTTTGGCCCCTGTACCTGTGGCTTAGAGCCCAAAGATGCGCCTTGAATTACACAATAGGTTGGCCCGAGAATCCCGGCCCTGTGTATGACCCATGCGTGATTCCAACGACTTTGCCGGACACTGATAGCCCAACAACCCAACCAATTAAGGGAGCGGCGCATGCTTGGTCTTTGAACACCGCTGGTACATTAATAATAGCTTTACTTTTCGTCCTTGTTGGTTTTTGAAAACGTGAATGACTGTAAGGATCAAGGCGTTTTAACTACATTGACTTTAAAGCATAATATTAAGATGCATCTGAAGATATAAATATGTTTATTACTACGTCAATTATCATGTTTTACCGTTCGCTTAATGACACAAGCACAGGAGGATAAATCCGAACAAGAGAGGAAAGAAGATAAGAGTTAATCCCTTATATAGGACAGTCACGGCATTTTGAGTTATTTTGATCATGTACAAAATTACCTTTAAGGAAACCTGAAAATAGTACTTTATGAAGACAGAAAAACACTAAACAGATAATAATGAACCATAAAGGATCAAGGGTGGTTATTAAAGGATCGAGAAGGTTAACACGGATTACAAACGACGAACTTCAAAAATTAAGGCTAAACTTTTCAAGATGCCAAACCGTGACGTACTTCGTTCAAATTAAATCCCACTCAAATTATTCTTACATGTAGTGCCAAGTTCTCCCGCGAATAATGTTACACGCGCGTTGCGTGGATTAGCTGCCTGGACTGTCCGGATGAGCAAACTTTGTTTCACATGATCGTCTATTTCTAGGTATTCCTGGGCTTTCTGAAAGCGGGAGTGATCTAAAAGGTTACCTTAGGAATAAGGCCTATATGGGAGATTAACTCTCTAACATAATTCATGAATTAATCCTCGGTTTATCCAAGATAAAAGCTACATATTCCAGTCTCGAAACCACACCAAACGGCTAACTCTGCTTGAAACTGGGTTCTTTAAAATGGACACTTTCAGTCCAAATCCCAGAAAACTCCGATGTTCTCCTTTGAGGACATGAAGTAACTCGCTTTGCAACCAGCTTGAACGGGGAAAATTTGATTTTCACGTAACCTCCATATGTAACTTGACTGTCGAGTTGTAATTATACGCAGTGTTAAGCATTTAGATTTGATTTACACGAAACAAGTCGTGTAGGAGTCTTTTCGAAAGCTTGTCGTATGCAACATACTTAGTGGCATGGTACCCTTTGAATCGGCCATTTTGATCCATTTTAATCAACCTTGAAAGCAGCAGCGAAACTTGGCATTGTCCGCCGCAGTTTCGTTAAAAACAAAACTTAGAGAGCTTAAGCAAACCACGACGGCAACGTCAACCGGAGAACGTCACCAAACAAAAGATTTAGTGAGTAGAACAACAGCTGTGCACGTGCGTTATTAATCTTTGTACATTTCTTTGCCGTCCTTTGCAAAACAACAACGTGAAATGACTAAGTTCTGCGTATTTTGGAGAAGGCGAACGACGGCGGATAATTTTTCGTATTTTATTTGGAATTGAACGCTGGCGTTACATATTTAACTTGAGCAACCTTTGAAACCAGTAGGCGCACTGGACAGATCTAGACAATTGTGAAATTTGAAGGTAAAATATAACTATTTTTAACTTGCATTTGTCCTCGGGGTCGCCGTTGTCACTGCTTAAGCTCTCTACTAAGCTCCAAAGAATCGACACAACAAATAATATGCTTTTCTTTCTCCCCACCCTAACCTTCATAAGTGAGTAGAAAATTCAGTTTGGTTTTGTCTCACTGTGATTCTCTGACTGCTCAGGAAGATGGTTTTGTATGTTCCAAAACAACTGGCGCTTTACTATATTAGACAATTAGATTATGAGCTCGAGATTTCTATCGCGAAAGGTGACGGGGGCGAATACTGCGCCCTCGTCAACTATCACGCATAGAAATCGAGAGCGAATAATCTCATTGTTTTAGTATAAATCTACTATTCGTTCAAAACTTTATCTAAATCCTCTTCGCAGACACTTCGAAAACGCCAAGAAGCGGCAGTCATTTTGTTTACAAGGGCACACCGCTACGCTTCTCACTATCTATCACAGAATAGAAAGTGAGTAGCGTAGCCAATCAGAGAACGGCATTCGTGATAGAACGCTAGTAGATTTATACTAAAACGCTTTAGGTTATTCAATATCGAAAACGTATTTACGTAATAATTTCAAATATATAGTGGTGTTTTTTTAATATATCTGAGTTTTTGTTTCTTAATTCCATATGACAATACACGCACTGATCATGAACACTGGAGGCGGGGGGGGGGGGCCCTAAGGAAATGCCGTTTTGAAGCACTGTTTTGAAGAGGATCTTGATATGACGAAGATACACGCCCTACAATCCTTCGAACTATTCAACGTTTATGAATCACACTTTAGTCGACCACCTGGCACGGTATCGTGCACTGGAGAAAGGGAACAACTGTCAAAAGCTTGGAGAAGCATGAGCTAAACAAAATTAAATTTAAACTTGCGTGACGTTGGAATAACAATTGTCTCACTTACTCACTCACTCATGCCCATCACGCCGAGTAGCTTACAACTGCCAATCCTTACCCATGGATGGTGCTCCAAGACAGGGAAGTCACGTATGACTAGACTGCAAGTGGTCATAGCCTAGCCAACAGGAAGTAGAATGGTACAGCTGTACACAAGACCAAGCCTCGTTACGAAAATGAAAAAGTGTAAGAGATCGTCTGTTCTTTGAATGACTGTTAATTATTCAGGAAAGATGTTCATAGCCTGTCAACGGGCCCTCTGTTTTGTCTTGAGTTCGTCGAGATCGCAAGCTTAGTAAAATATTAACCCGGCGCGTGGGATACACGTGCTAAAACGCAACAGGGTAGGACTGGGGAAAGATCAAAATACTGTAGAGTTTAATTTTCTCGCGCGTAAATCTCGCGCGTTCGAAGAAAAATAACTCTTGGCAAAAAAGTGAGAACCTCTGTGGACAGACTAAGTTTTGCGTATCGGAGACCTTGGGCGACAAAATCATAAGCGTTAGCGCATTCCGCCTTCAACGCTGCCGTTGCATGGGAATGTTTGTGAGCAGTGGAAATCAAGAGATACCAGATGCTATCCCGACGAAAAGTAATGGATAAAGGATCAAACACAATACGTTATTCTGGAGTCCGGTCCGGCTGATATTTACTTAAATTTACTATACTTTTTACTCGTTGAAAAACAACGCGATCGCGAAAAATTGACGAAAATCCCTGGGGGACTCCCTTATAAAAAGGACGTGGTCCCCCCGTTCTTTTATATGCGAGTCCCGTGGGGGTAATCCCTTTCAACACTCTCCAAAACACAGAAAATCATACGAAAACGGGGGACGACGCCACAAGGATCAAAGACATGGTTTTATGAACAATGTCGAGAGCAGTTTAGTGCCATTACGCACGCCCAGTATCCGGGTACCCATATGTGTTTCAGGAAAGCTCATCTGCCAGTTTCCAACCCACCCCACCCCACCCGCCTCCCGTTATCTTCGCCCGGCCTCTACGGGCGTTCAATGTCAAACTCAGACAATAATACAATGAAACTATCAATGGAAAACGGTTCTTTTGAAATATTTCCACTTATAGTTTAATTACATTGTATTTCTCTTAAAATTGCCATTAGCTTGCTTCTTATTACGATATACCAGGAAAGGAAATTTATTTTGTCCATTTAAAAAAAGCAAACTTTATCAAATTTTATTTCTTCGAGCCCATAAGTTAAAGCATTTTCTAAATTGTAAGAACTAAAAATTCCAGTCTTGGAATAGCGGTTTCTAAGCAGTCAAAGAAGACAGTCAGCATGCGTTCTTATCATAGAACAGCTACAAAACCAATACATTGACAGACAGTGAAAAAAAAAAGAATTCGTTAAATACGGTTGACGTGTTGATGAACCCTTAAATTCTCAAAGCTAACAGTAAAAGACATTTATGGAAAATAGTAATGAGAAACGACATCTTGGTCAGTTATGGATATTCCTTGGCACCGAAGAGCTGTCCATAAATTTATTTCTTTAATACATATTTTTTTCTTTTTTTTTTTGGCACGGATATGAATATATCATCCGCTTGGGTATAAACAGCATCGAGTGTGTCCACAGATCAGTGAAAACACAAGCAAAAAAACTGAAAGGTAAGTGAGCTTTTAGAAGCCCAAACATGCTAACTAAACCTATTCAAATTTATAGTATATAGAACAGCAAATTCTATAGCAAGTTGATTCTTTGTTTAATTAGAACTTGCTGGCGAATCGTCAAAATGCTGCCTGACTAATGGATCACGGATTGAAAATTTTATTCGTTAACAGAAAGGAGGATGTAGGAAGCACCTCACAGTAAACTAAAAATTATATTTTCTCCTTTGCTAAGCTCGACAGACAGGGAGTTTCCATGAGTGTGTTGGATATAACCATGAACCAGCTAGGGGCAAATTGAATAATTGGCTACGGTTAAATTACGCCACTTTTTTTATAATAGCGTTTCGTTTAAACTGGAGTCTGGAACCGCGAGAAGGTTTTGCAAACTGATTGACTAGCTTCACTTGATTGGGAACTGGCTTTTTGAATTCTCCAAATCTGCTCGTGATCTCTCGAGTTTTCGCGATCATCAGCCGTTATTATAAATCAAACGTAGACGCATCATTTCATTTCTTCAGGGGCACCCAACGACCGTTTTCTCTCGAATGCTTTTAAACGCTGTTTTAGGCTATCTGTAGTACTTTTAAAGTTCTGCAGTTTAATCTTAGGTTGCGCCAAAAAAATTTTATCTGTTCGGTTATTCTAGGGGAACTTGAGTATTCTCGAATTTATTAGGGCTGTTTTGTCCATTTCCCGAAAACCTNGTTCGAGGTGACAATTCTCTTAAGAAAATCAGAGGGGATTAAAGGCCTTCCGAACAGATAAATTACCGAAACGATCCGTTGGGTGCCCCTGATTTCTTGTTAACCATGCTGTCTTTATGCTCGAGTGATTGAAATGTTTGTCTACAACATATCTGCTATATGGAAATTTCCGGAGATCAAGTCTTATTAAATTCAAAAAGTTTCGTCCTTCACTCTGTTGACGCAGGAGAAAGTAGTGCTCTTTGTTGGTTCATCTGCTCAGTGGCAACATGACAGAATCTGACATATAGCTTCCAAAAATACTGAAGACTAAGCCGTGTTCCTAGTAGAGACCCAATTGTGCACGGAGAGGTCCAAGCCCGATAGGGATACTTTTTTCAATTGCGCGAGGCTGTTTCCTACGTAGAAAACTTTAGGCAACAACGGCATGATAGAGTCCAAACTGAGAGCCAAGATGCAACTGTTACTGGGCTGCTGTTTCGACATTGTTGGGTCTAGCTGGCTCCCCGGTGAAAACCTCGAACCCCGGTTAACTCGAACCTGACGCCAACAACTCGAACCCTAATTGTGTTTTTTTTTCCGGTTTTTTTTTCTGGATTTGTTGTTAGATCTATTGAAATTTTACCCTCAGTTACTCGAGCCCTCCATAACTCGAAGTGGTCTTTTTAATTTTATCCCTTCGCGCCATTTTCGTTATATGTAAGGCTCCGTCCACTACGCCGCGGGAATCTGAAAACGGGTTTCACTCTGAAAACGCATCAAACATGTTTTCCGTCCACAATACACCGGAGAAATTTAAAAACGCAACGATCACCGGTCATTTTGCATTAGTGTTTGAGGAAAAACCGGTTAAGGAAATCACATGAATACCGTGACTACATCATTTTCAAAAACGTCCGTTTTTAAATTGTTTTCCTCATTCTCCTCATGTTTTTCATAGTTGACTAGGGCTGCTCGTTCATCAACTATATGAAATCTCGAGCTCATAACGTAAATTTCCGAAAGTAACGACCCTCGTGACTTTCGGAAATTAGCAGCCTTTGGGGATCGTTACTGACGGGGGTCGCTAATTTGGGCGGCTCGCGACTATCGGAGGATCGCTACTTTCGGGGTTTTTTAGCGGTCACAACTTTTTGACGTTACTTTTGGGGGCTCGCTACTTTCGGAAGTTTACAGTAATGGATAACTTGGATGAGACGAAAATAGAAAACCGCTGACACTGACGCGATGGAAGTTTACGAGAACTTTCGGCTTAGCTCTTACCTAGGCCTAGATATTTCGCCGCAGTCAGTCGGTTTCGGGGCAGGTGGTCCAATTCGGAGGTCGCCGAATGAGAAATCGTCGAGGAAATGGTCACAGGAATGAGCAAAAAACAATTTACAGGAATAAGGAATCATGCAACAATCTATTTAAGTGGCGAACGGTGAAAAACAAAATTATAATTATGAAGATATGATTGATCATCGCAGTTAACAAAAAATTCAGGCTTGAACGGCATTCGAACCCATTCGAGCACGACCTCTGGGACACCGATACAACGTGAACAGCCCCCAGCTGCCTTGGTAGCTCATTTGGTGTCGTAGAGGTCGTGGGTTCGAATCCCGTTCAAGCCTGGATTTTTTTTTCTTTTAGGCTTAAATTTCACAACTGCTGGAGTTGTGTGTATAACTGAAATCATCAACCATTTCTTCATATCTTTCTCGGCAGTTCAAATACATGATCTTTCATATGTTCACTTGTAGAATTATAACTAGTACCAAAATATTTGCCGTTTTTCCAGCAGACAGAAATCTAAATTACTGCTGGTTGTTTTGAGTCACCTGCTTCATGTTTTGAAAAGAACTGAAGGTTATCATTCTATGTAGTCGTGTGACAATTTGTTGTTGCTGGTTGCATCTTATTTTATGAAAATGCAGGAATTAAGTATCGGTCGTATGTCGAGGGCTTTCTGAAGGTATGATAAAAGCATCTTTTTAAGTCATGATCACATTGTAAGAAGACCAGAATTTTAGGAATTCTTGTTTTTTCAAAACTACCGAACCCTTACATTTCAGGTCAGTTTTCACAGCAACTAATTTTCACAATTCAAAAAGAAAACTGGGTTGCTCCGTTGCTTTGGGGTGCTGAGGCCTTACTTTGAGTCATAAACTAAAACTGCCATACTCCTTAAAGAAAAATTCCCGCCAGTTTGGTTCCGTAGCTAGCTCGGCCGACACTCAGTGATGATTAGTTTTGGTAATCATAACTAGCTATTGATTGACTGGTCATTATAAACACATCCATGCCACTTGCTTTTGATCACCGTTTCCGTGATGTCTTCGATATAGCTCGACTTCAAGCCTCATCCCCTCCCCCCCGGGGGAGGAGTGGATACCCATATAAAAAGGACGGGGGTGTTCGTCGTACCTTGTAGGGGTTAAATACCTCTTATAAACCTAGTCCGAGGTCCGTACTGTAAGTTACGGACCGAGTTTTTTTCCCCTTCGATTTATGGCCTAAGCACGAAGCGCGAGGGCCATAAATCGAAGGGGGGAAATAACGAGGATCTGTAACTTACAGAACGGACCGAGAAAACGAGGTTAGTAAGATATCTATTATATCTTTACTATGTCTGAAGGATTCGAGAACGATTTCTAATCACGCGGAACTGCTTCAATTTCTGACGCTCGTCGAAAGAAAAACGAGCCAATTGGAATTCTTGGTAAGTCGTTAGCACGTTTTCAGGTGATTCCTCAGATATAAAATTTGCAGAACGATTTTTTTGAAACTTTCTCTAAATGTTCCCTAGCAAGCGCTGTGTCGAAAAATTCAATAAAAAAAGATAGGTCGCCATGCTCTCTTAACAGATATGTTGGGCCAGTCTTGCTTCATTTATGCCCAACGCGCTTCATTTTATCAGTTCACGTTACATTTTGCGGTAGCTGGAAGCAAAGGTTATTAAAGCAATACTTGGAAAAAATCTTGATAGGACAAAAGTCTCGGGTACTTGAAAAAATGTAATGTATAATTTATGGCAAATCACACAATTTTAAACGACATCTACTCAAAACGTTCCTCAAATCGTTGTTTTCGAGGTCATGGTTCGCATCCTCGAGTAACGATTTTGTGCACTTTTTCAGCCAAATTTTTTTTCCTAATTTCTTAACTTAACGTCAATCTGTCAGTTTTACGATAACAAATTGTCAAATTGTCCGCTCTCGCTCGCTGACTCGTGCATCTCATAAATTATAAATTCATGTGTCCGTCCGATTATTGACAATGAAAATTAGCCAATGAGCGGGCGAGAATTTCTGCAGTTATCGTAAATAGGGTAAGGGTTTTGGGAAGCGGGCCGCACTCCCCCACCAAATTTTTCTGGGAGTATCCCCGGAGAAAGCGATAGCGTCTGTAATAGCATCGCAGGCTATTACAGATTAGTGAGGTAGAGTTACTAATCTCGTTTTGCCTCTTTATTTTCATTGTTTCTTAATCGTAGAAGCATCCGGCGTTGTGCTCGATTTGATTCATTACATGAAATTTTCGCGACACGTTAATTTCGCGAATTTCGCGATTTAAAAAACCGCGAAATTTAAGTGAACCAAACAATCAGAGTCGCGATCATAGCATGACGCGAAAAATAGGTGGCTCACACTAGTTATTAAGAGAAAGTCCCCCCGTTGTGTTCTGTTGATCTTGACGTTACTATACCTTTGGTAAAGTCGGCTTACTAAATCAAGGACATGTTTAAGTTACAAAGGAAATAAATGCTGTGTTGCTCGAAAACGCGAAGTTTTAAGTGATTCAAAATACAAAATTTTCCCAAAATCGCCGAATTTGAGTGTCGCGAAATATGCACAGCCCAAAATCGCGAAATAAACGTGTCGCGAAAATTTCATGTAATAAGGTATACATGTACCAAGAACCATGAATTTTGATTTGTCGCTGTTTTCGGAAGGGTCCTTTAGTCTTTCGGAATTATGACAGCTGACACTTTGACACGCTGACTGTTCTTCAATATTAATTGACAGAAGGGTACTGGTACGCGATATCTCCACGTCGCCTGCCTATTGTATACACTGGAACGCCCACCAATTGAATTTCCCGGATTTTGCGGTCAACGTTTGCAGAAGCAGCGCAATGGAGCTCAAAGTTCCGTTTTTCCTTGCCCTTGTTGCGGTATTCGGACCGTTTCTTCTCGAGGCTGCTCTTGATCAAGCAGAGGAAGACAACGCGAAGGAATTCCTCGCTAAATACAACAGTATCACACCGCAGGAGGACTACAAGTCGACCGTGGCCTCTTGGAACCACGCTACAAACCTCACCGATTACAACAAAGCGCTCAAGACTAACGCGAGCTTAGCGTTCTCAGCCTTCTACAAGAAGATGCAAACGAATGCGTCCGTTTTCGACACTTCTAAGCTTTCCTACGACACTGCCAGACAAATTAAGAGAATCACTGCCTCAGCTACACCGAAAGACGAGGAAACTCTAAAGAAACTCACCATGCTCGAGTCGTTAATGGAGGAAATTTACAGCACGGGAAAAGTTGAGGATTCAAACGGGGACCAATTAGAACTAGACCCTGACCTGTATGCGATCCTATCGAAATCGCGCGACTACAGTCGATTATTGTTTGCTTGGAAAGGCTGGCGAGACGCAGTTGGCCCGAAATTACGACCCCGCTACAAGGAATTTGTAGAATTGTTGAACACAGGCGCGAAAGAAAATGGCTGGAGAGATATTGGTGAGTATTGGCGGTCCTGGTACGAGGTGGACAACCTGCCAGTCATCGTGGAGGGATTCTGGAACAAACTCAAACCGCTCTACCAAGAGTTGCATGCTTATGTTCGCTACAAGTTGAGCCAGAAGTATGAAGAAATGTCGCCTGAAGGTCCCATCCCTGCGCATCTCCTCGGCAATATGTGGGCCCAGTCCTGGGTGAATATTTACGAATTGGTCGAGCCCTACAAAAATCAGTCAAGCTTGGATGTAACCGCAAACATGGTCAAGAAAGAGTATAACGCGACCATGATGTTTAAACTAGCGGACTCGTTTTTCCAATCGATCGGCCTCGAGGCGCTACCGGCATCGTTCTATGAAAAGTCTATGATCACCAAACCTAAAGACCGTCAGGTCATTTGTCACGCATCCGCCTGGGATTTCGCCATAAACAAAGACGTAAGGTAAGGCATATATTCAATTCTCCTCATTCCTTATAGCCTGAGAGAGCATCCGGGTTTTGCGGCTCTTGTTTCACCTGCCGGGTTTTTTTCTCGGCGCGTGAAACAAGAGCCAAAAAAACCGGATGCTCTCCTAGGCTAATTACCTTATATATGTTTTAGATCTATTTTTGAGAAATTGGTAATACATCAAAAAGCATTGTAATTCTAATCAATGGTTTTCTGCGTTTTCTTATAACCTGTCTGCTTCACAGACCACAAAAGTCTTAAAGAAAATTTGAAATGTCGATAAAGAGGTGCAATTTCAAATTCCAAGTGGAAGAATGTTATTTATTTTTTATTTATCCGTTACTAAGTGAGCTTATTCCATCGTTTTAGACCTATATCGTATCATTGACCTTCTTTACAAACACCATTTAGATGTACAAAGAATGCTGTCTTAACAAGGTTTAAAATTACAAACTTTGTTTCACTGATTTCCTAACTTGTAAGCTGTTAAAATACATGTCTTTTGTATTTTGTGTGTCACATTCGTTCCGCGTTTAAACACGCTTTATTAATGACTAATTTTTGCCATTAATCTTATATAAGCAAGGTCTTTGTTTCGACTTTTAAAGGCATTAACTGTCTAAATAAAGAACTCACCGGAATATACTTTTTGGCATTTGTAGACCTGACCCTTGATATCTTCTTCAAATTTATTGTAAATACCCGATCTTCAAACGAACCGCACAAACAGAAGGCGATTTGGTGGTTTAAAAAAAGTTAGTTTCACTACAATACACAGGTGTTTCCCAATTAAAATTGACATGCTAAATCTGAATAGCTGCTCCGTCATCGTTCTTTTGCAGAATATTTCGAAAAAAGTAAGGTGGATGTCCTTTCTCCATTTGGGGCAAGAAGCGCGCGAAAGTAAGCGCTCGTCCCCCCCCCCCCCCCCCCCCCCCCCCCCCCCCCCCCCCCCCCCC